GGCATAAATGTATGTATTATACACAGCAAAATATGGTGTATGTGTGTGTATAGTGTGTGTGTGTGTGTGTGTGTGTGTATATATATATATATATGAATGAAATAGTGGACAAAGTTCCAGCCACCATGAAGCTTATATACTAGTGGGGAGAGACTATCTGTAAATAAATGAACCAATACATGGCAGATGGTGTTAAGTGTAGAATGGGCATATGTTTGGAGGAGGGTACTACTTATACCTGATAATCAGGAGTCTGGGATAAATGAGACTTTTGAAAATTACAGTAACAATGGTAGTGTCACCAGTGGCCTGGAGGCCTATGCAACTGACCAATATCATTAACTACCATCTCCACATAGTGGGAAAGTATGAAGACAGCACATTCATTCTATTTCACATATATCTGCTTCACCCTTGCCAAATCTAAGTCACGCTGAAAAGAAATCTTCTCTTAGTGATTATGGGAAGCCTCTAGTTTTATGTAGACAATTAGTAGCAACCATGGCTATCTAATTTATTAATTCGTACTCTTCATAATTAAGTCAAAGCAATCTGTTCACCTTAAGCAAGTCAAAATGATACCAGCCAGTTACACTACAGTTCATTAAGTGCCACACACGTGGCAAGCAGACATCGAGACACCCACCCCTCTTAGCCACTGGGTAACACGTGGAAAGTCATTTCTGGAAAATCTTTTTTCAAACTGCTATAAACAGTAATAACACATATAGCCAAAAAAGTAAACACCAAATAATTATCTATATAGGTTTAAATTTTGAAATTATTCTCCATAAATAGAAAATATAAGCAATTAATACATTATTAACAAGTAACCATGAAATAAAGCCAAAGTTACTTTTCCTAATTAGTTTAAACATAAGCCTTTAAGTTTCCACAAAGGAATAATCACTACAAGCATTCCAACAATAACAACAAAAAACTCTATCCTCACACATTTCATTACCACACAACTATTTTTAAAAATTCCTTATGACCCATATTTGCCTATTTTCTGGCATCAGAAAAAAAAAAAAACACTGTAATTTCATCCTGACAAATGCCTTTCATAAAAGACATAATATCTTGAGATTTTTAAAAAATCTGCTTTATTAAGCTGCTAGAATTAAAGTTAGTTTCAGAAGATGTTAGCTTTTTAACTTAAAAATTCCATGTAAATTATGCCTCAATAATGTTAGCAAAATGGGCAGGAAGGAGGGGCAACCCACCAGTTTAAATGTAAAAATCCAAACTTTGGCCATCAAAAAATGTTAATCCGAGAAGGAAAAAAAATTCTTTCAAAACTGTTTACAACGATAAAATATTTGGTGTATCAAAGTTTTCATTTGATTCACTATTTAAAAGCCATCAACCTTAAGTATATTATAAAGCTAATATTTTGAGACTCTATTAGAAGTTGACATAATCACAACTTACTTTATACACTGTATGGTTAATTTATTTCCCTTAAATATAGGCTTTAACTGTTTCTCAAAATTAGGCACTGTGACAACCGGACCTCTTGCTACTAGAGATTTTGGAAACAAGGAATTTAACACCTAACACACATAGTAATATTTACAGTGGTTTATTTAGTACTTCTGCTTCTCTATATCAACTACACTAAGACTAAGAATAAAACAGGTGATTCTTTCAAGCAAGTATCTATCTTAGTTTAGGTATGTAGATAATATCACATATATTTCCAAAATCCACATTCTATCTTGAGATAGGTATCTGAAGAGTCCCTCAAATTTTTGAGAGAATTTATTGTTTCTCTTGTTTATGAAAATGCAATATAAATTAAAAAATGTCTAGACTAGTAACAAGGAAAAATTAAACCACCTTTTTCCCTTTCATTCTATAATACCAATCTGTCACCAGTTTATGTTTTTGCTGTTGTACAAAGGCTCTTCATATAAGCCTTCTACATAATTAAAATGCTACTACTTTTCAAGAATGATCCCTCCCTAAACCTGACAAATCAGACTGGAGAACATCAACTTTTGCTTTCACTGCAATACTGGATAGCTTCCAAAAGAACTGGGATTGGCAGTTCTTTCTACTCAAGATCATTTCTCCCTAAAACTCTTGCAAAACTCTTCTCTTACTCATTCTTATTTGATAGTCTATCCTAAGTGCTATTCATCTCCAAATCTATTTCAAATAGTAATAATGATAATACTAATTTCGCCATCACAAAAATTATGCTCTAGGCTCTCCTATCACCACTTCCGTGTATGGCCCCATCTATTTCCATGTGCTAGGACTGAACTGTAACTAGTGAGATCAGAATGAGCAAAGGATATAAATCAAATTCCAGATACGATATGTACCATTATAACTTCAGGCATCTTAATTAGTCCCTCAGTTTCAATCTCTCCATTTAAAAAATAGGAATATTAATAACTGTTACAAAAATATATTGTAAAACAACATAGAACACTTTGTAAGCTTTAAAGCACCATTACCAATAATAGAAATTATTAGTTTTACTTAGTGCCATATTTTATTGGTAAGTTTACCCCTCATTTTAGTAGACTATTTCTCCATCACTTTCCAATACAGTATTATGAAACCACTTCAAACTCACTGACTTCTGCAAAATCTTCTTTAGAAGGTTCATAAACTCCAATTTCTTCAACTGGGAAGTGTTACCATAGTTACTTGCACTTGATCTGAAGAGTGGGGCAAAATCTTTATACATGCAAATTTTTAAACATTCTATAAAGTTCTTTTAATCCTTAGTCATCTGATTATTTCAATAGCCTTGTGACAAGCAAGGAGTGCTCTCTTATCTCCAAGGTAAAAATTTAAATGCAAAGGAGTAGCTGTGCTGGAACTAGATACTTTAAAACAATACTCTTGCCACCAGAGAGATGCCTAAAGATATACAAGGTATACATATTTTCTTTCAATTCTTTATCTCTTCATTCCAAGTGGTCTGAGTCTTGCCATCAATTATTCTAAAATTCACACATTCTCTCTTTTTAGCCCTCACAAATCTAATTCCTAGTACGGACAGTAATGATCGCATGTCTGGTACAGTATCTGCTCATTAGCATCACCTTCATTTTGGCTACAATAAACTAAAGTTGACTAGATGTAGGAAGGCATATTATGCAAGTTCACAAGGAGCAGGTTTCAAGAATTTTGGGCATCCTCATCTCCAAAAACCTCAGAAATCACAAGATTTAATTTATAAAGCAAAGTTTAAAAAAAAGGCAAGAATGTTAAAAAACAAATTAAGTCAACTCACCAGATTTTAGGTGACTATATGATTTTACATGAGAGAAATACAAAAACTAGTTTTCCAGTCATCTGTCCCAAAGAAGTAATCATTCTAAGTAGGTAAACTATGCTTAAAAGGGCCTCAAAAAGCCAGACTACCTCTGGATTGGTCACTGGCTAAGTTAGGAAAACAAAACTCTGATAACAAAGTAAAAGAAAAAACACTTCTAGGTTAAGTGTACAGGCTCCAAAATAGGAAGCAGCTTAAGCTTCTCTTCTTAAAAGGTTTCCCCTGATAGGAAGAAATGGCTTTCTCCCTGCAGTTAGTCAAGGAGTGTCTCAGCCTACTAAACTACTTTATAAATAGCTTCCTAATCTAACTGCCAGTTACAAATTCTATAACTAAATTTTAAGTCAGCAGGTTGTTCTTTACCAATATTCAGATGTACCATGCAGTGTTTCTGGCATGTGCTATAGATTATCACCTGAAAGTAAAATGCCTTGGTTAAAAGTCTGTCACCATTTCAAAACAGTATGTTGCAAGAATATGAAGAACAAAAATAAATGAGTGCTTATAGTGTACCAAGTCTATAATCTTACATGAATTAAAATGTAACAAATTCCAAACCTGGTAACTACAAAATTAATGTTATTTCTGTAAAGAAAAGTTACAAAAGCTAATGTTGAGAAAAGAAAAAAATACAGAAGGAAATACTACCAGCCAAACCACAGCTTCTCAGTCATTATACAGCTGGCTTTACTTCTAAAAGGAAATGTACAAATGGGAATAAGGATAACGAGGTTGTTTCTTCCCAATCTAAAAACAGAAGACAAAGTGATGATGTAAAGAACAAATAGATCTCTCCTTTAGTTTCATATCAAAAGATCAAATGCAGCTATCCTATAACCCTCTTGAACATGCAGTTTTTAAATACAAATTCAATGCAGAGCAATCCATTTACCAACAAATGTTCACAATGGCCTTATCTATCAAAACTAAACCAATTCGCTCAAGACAGCTCACCTAAAATTAAGGTAGAAACTGCAATTATAAAATCAGTTTTATTTATTTTCTACTTGCCTAATATAAATGCTACACCTTTCCAAAAACCCTGTCCCTCTCTTTCCAAAAATGCTATCTAAAAATAGCCTGGCTGGTGTGGCTCAGTGGACTGAGTGCTGGCCTGTGAACCAAAAGGTCACCATTTCAATTCCCAGTCAGGGCATATGCCTGGGTTGCTGGCCAGGTTCCCAATGGGGAGTGTGCAAGAGGCAACCACATATTAATGTTTCTCTCCCTTTCTTCCTCCCTTCCCCTCTATCTAAAAAACATTAAAAAAAATAAATAAAGACAAACTTGGCAGTTAAAAAAGGCATCAACAACTTTTAAAATAACTTTCCTAAGTAAAATTACATATTGAATACAACTAAAGATTATTCTAAACTACACCAGTAAGTTGCTTATTTAATTTCAAGTCACAAAAGGTAAAAAGATGACCAAAGAGAAAGACAACTCACACTGTATTTGGCAAGTCAACTCAAAGCTTGCTACATGTACACATACAAGTAAAAGCAAACTTTGTTTTTGCTCTTAATAATTGAATAGGTAAACAAAAGATTACAGGCCAAAAATGAGTAAGCAGTTAGTCAGAACAACTGACACAGCCTTGGCCTATGACACAGTTCTAGCATTAACAAGTAGATATATGCATTCCTATCCATGATACACAGTCACTGTATATATATACTTCAAGAGACAGTCCTTCTAGAGCTTGCTTTGGTAGCATATACACTAAAACTGGAACAATAACAAGAAGATTAGCATGGCCCTCGTGCAAAGAAACACAGTCCTTCTAACAAGCAAACAATAATAATGCTTTGATTTCCATGGTTCTATGAAATTAAAGTAAGGGATAAAATAAGGTTTGAGGCAATAATTCATAAATTCATCATTTAAACCAATAATTTAAAGATAATGTTACTGTGCAAATGATCATATAGTGATGGATTAGTGATGGTCCATTATATAACTTCAACTGATCCCCCATTATGACCAAGTGCCAACAAATGCAAGACAATTAGCTAGTCTAAGTCACTTAGTTTGTGATAACAGTTAAGGGACCACCACCGTCATTCTTTTTCAGAAATCAAATTCATAATCCTGGCATGAACACATAAACTTATTAAGTGAACCAACTAACTAAAGACCAAGATCACATGTGAATATTTTCAAAGTAGAGATTAATTCTGCACAAGAACTTCACATTTATAAAATACAACAAAAAACTGTTAACCAAATAGTTCACTAGCCAAGTATATAAAGTCCATTATCTTCATCTCCAATAAATCTTCATCAAAGATTTATTAAATATTTACTAAGATACTATTATGCACCAGCTATTATTTTCTGGGTACCAGAGATACCAAGATGAAAAAGGTACAGTCCCTGTTTTCAAGAGATACAGGTACAAGATGATACAAAAGGAGGAAACCAAAAAAACCCCTAGAATTATCTTATCAAGGGTGGTTCCCTTCTAGTACACGCTTCCCCTGGTAGATGAGTGATCTAGAAAGCCATCTGTTTCAGTGTGCCAGCTGGTGGTGTTGTGGGAAGCTGCATTCAGCTTTAGTGAATTTTTTTTAAACTCTTTCAACGCATTTGCCCATTTCATGATGGGTGATTTACAAGCGCATTTGCCCACACCTGGCTGAGTGTTCAGCAGTTTTTCCCCCAAATGAGCATGACCCCATGCCCCACCCTCCCTATTCACCTGATCTCATCCCCAGCGATTCTTCTTTTTTGGTTGGTTGTTTGTTTTCCCAATGAAAAAGTCCTCAAAGGGAAACATTTTGCGGTTGTGGAAAGAGGTGAAACAAACAAAATAAATGGCAGAAGCACTAAAAGCATCAAAATCAATGAGTTCAAAAACTGTTTGGGGCAGTGGTATGTGTCCTTCATCAAACGGAGAATACTTTGAGGGTGACTTAAGTTTAAACATGGAAGAATACACAATTTTAAAAATAAATTCTAGGGTTTTCTGGGTCTTCCACCTTGTAAGAGTGTAGAAAAGAGAAAAAAAAAGAAAACGCCTCTGTCGAGTGATAGGGAAGCAATTTGATTACCAACACTACCCATGGTTTGCCAGTGATGGCTCATTAAAGGGGGAAAGAGATGGAGCAATGGGTCCTGTCCTCCCTCACCAAACAAGGGCATCAGACACAGACACACATGCCCAAAGGAGACAAACCTGAAAGGAAGATAAATCTCCTTTTGTCAACCTGGCTGACTGAAGTGAAAAATTCAGAGAAGCAAACATTTGAAACATGGTTAAAAAGACTAATAATACAAGCTCTGTCTGGGTGGCTAAGCTGGTTGGAGTACCGTCCCATATACCAAAAAGGATAATATGAAGTTTTTTACTATCAGTTACTTTTACATTTTACATTATTCACATTATCTTCGATAAAGTCAGACAAAAACTCATTTTGCTGGCCATTTCCTCTTAAAACAAAATCATAAAAAATAATGCTGCTCCTTATTCCCAATGGCAGTAATATATGTAAATTCACATTGTTTTTCAAATAATGATGATATACTGATCAATGGGATAGTCTAATAGAGAATGAAGCAACAGCTCACAGAGAAAATGTCCCTAATCTTAGTTTCCAAAGCACCAAGCCAAGAACAAAAAGTTAAAGGCACAAATATAGCATCACAAAACAGCAGAGCAGAGATGCAATTTAAGTGAGTAAGGGATTTTCCTAAACTCATATGGAGCTGGGACCAGCACCAGATAGTCCAATTGAGGGCTTATTCCTCTGAAATCATGTTAACAATTTAAGAAGTACAGAAAGAGCTGTTTCCAAATGTAATCTTACATATTTACAGAAATTTTATCAAAGAAACATTTTCTCCTAACTATATCCCATTGCCTAAAGGTTCTCGGTGAACTACGAGAGTCTCCAGACTGACTGACTTCTACTCAAGATCCTTAATTGATATGTAAATGTTAAAGTTATTCTCTATTTGCTTTTACTAGGTAGTATCTCAGTTTATGTATCTGTACAATAGAGCTAATAAGACTACCTAGTCAGTAAGTTTTTATAAGGATTAACTGTGTTAACACATTTTAAGAGCTCAAAGCAGAACGGGTGCCTTAAATCTTAGCTATTATTCCCATGATGCAGACTGTATTGCACAACACTTAAAGACTGAAAAGTTTCCTTTAACGTTTAAAAAAAATCTATCTTCATATCAAAATGTGATACACATTACTTCTGTTCAGACTTTATCAAACATCTGTGCAATATAGACTCAGAAACTTCCAAACCTCATATATGGCCAGTATTAATGCAGTCTATAATAATCAAATTAATATAAAAACCTAAAACAGCAAAATTTAACTTTCAGCTTCAAGATCAACAAAACTCCTTGCCTTGTCTATTTTAACACTGGCAGCAGAAAATAAACATCTAGCACAATTCTGAAAATCAGCTCTAACTATGGTCCAACTTCACCTACAATAGCCAAAAGCTACCTGGATATGAGAAACATCTAAAGGTCGTGTGATTAAAATCCATACTCTCTCCACAATCTAGCCCTCAGACAATTGCTCCAATTGTATTACTATTACTACTTAAACACAACCTGTCCTTCCCCTGGCTACAAAGCTCCCTATTTATCCTCTACAGTTAAACACAAACTCCTTTGTTTCCCGGAGTTCCAGCCTTCCTACCTACAAATGTTTGCCCATACTCTTTCCACCATCTGAAAAACCTACTTCTCATTGATTACCATTTAAGCCCCAGTTTCCCCCCTTGTCAAAAGCAGTATCTCTCCCCTCTGATTTTCAGTGAACACATCTCACATTTGCCTGGAAATATAGCTATCTGTATATGTAATCCTCCTTAATAGACTGAGGATATGACCAGTGATTTCACTTTTGGATTTCTTAATCTTTCCCCACACAGTATCTTTGTTATAATAAACACTCAATATGTAATTGCTAATGAGTATATTAATTTCCCCAAGACTAATACCTATTTGGTAAAGATCCATCTTTAAACAGCTAAGAATAACTAATAATTAATGTATCATTTGCAGATAAATAGATGTCCACAGTTAAATCATAAAGCTCAAACAATACCACTCAAGAACTGTGTTGACTTTTAACTAGTTTATCAAACTTTTTCTAGTCATACTGATCATCATCAGATAAGACAGTTTAATAAGTTCATTAATAAATTTGGAACTTAAAAAACCCCTGATTTTCAGAGAAACTCACAAAAGCCAGAAGATTGTAGTACCTGATTTTATTTGTTCAGAGACCCAAACCACCATGTATAACAATATTCAGAAACTGAATTTCAGGTACTAAAGGTTATCTAGTGCCCTACACAAATGGTAACAGAACTATGCATCCATCCTTCCTATACCTTTCAATAACCCTACCACAAATTACTTGGGAAAATGAAAGAGTACATAATATTTGCACCTAAAGTTAGGAAAGCAGCTAATAAATGGAAGGAAAGAGGATTCTAAAACGAGCACTTGAGGAAGAGGGTTAAAGAGACCAGTCTATTGACTCTTGTCCCTACAAGACACTTACAGGATTCCTCTCCAGCCTCACCAGCCCTTACTCCCATTAATACTTTGTATTCCACCATATACCACTATGTAGTTTTCCCCAAGCAAATCATAATGCTCTTTCTTGCCTCTACGTCATAGAATGTGCTAATTTAAGAGGAACCCTTTTGTCCATCTGGCAAATTGCTATTCATCCTTAAAATCCCTGTTACCTCCTCTATGAAGCCATCAATAACCTACTTCAAAATTCATTACTCCAGCCCCTAATGCTTTAATACTTTATGTAAAAAAGTATTATACATTTATTTCAACATATTCCAATTACTTATTTGAACATTCTCATTATTAGGTTTCAAGTTCCTTTCAATGTAAGAATCAAGCGTCATTCATCTTTACATTCTTGTCTCCGTCATTCTCCCTTACCACTACGCTTTCTGCTTCTGACCAGGATTTTTGGCTGTACTGCTCCATGTTAAACAGAAGTCAATCTCAGAAACTTTGCCCCATTATTCTTGCTCACAGAGCAAGAAAATGATTTTAATACAGTTGTTTCCTAGAGAATTTTACTAAAATAACATGAGATAACAAACAATTTGGTCTTATAATCCTTTTTCCACTCAGGCCTGAGTCTCCAAGAAAAAGTCACACAAAGTGATAAAAACTCTTGGATCTTTAAGTACACAAATTAAGATTTATCTTCATTTAATTTTCAAAAGAAAATTAATTTAAATTTCCACAGGCAATTCACCAGAGTCCTAAGACCAGGAGAGAAAGAACATAAATAGCTAAAGAGGGTGGTAGGAAGAAGCCAACCAAGATCAATGCCCAGCTCATTCAATATAGCATATTACAGTCATGTACTTCATTTCTGACTATATTCAAACTTTACATGTTTTGCCAATGTCATATAACAAAACATACAAGTACTCAGCAAACAAGGCCTTACAGCATTCTGCTATCAGATGCAGACAACACAGTCTAAAATCCAGGACTCCCTGGAATTCACATTTAACCACTGACAAGCAAATAATAATCATAATAATAGAAGAAAAGCAGAAAACCCAAGATCTGACTAGCTAAGCTTACTTGTTTTCAGTCAAATATACCAATAATAAGTATGTCATGAAAATAAAAAACAGTTTAGAGTGTCAAACTGCCTTAATTTTACACAACCTAATTCTGGAATCTTATTTCCCAACTTCTATAATTCCTCACATTTTCAATCAATAAAAATTTAGTTGATCATGAAAACACAAGTTCAAACAACCACTACTCACAGCAAAGACTA